ATTACTGGTGAGTGTTTTGGGTGATTTTTGATGCAGGTTTGAAGTAGTCATGTAAAATATTTGTGGGAACATTTCCTTGTACTTTGAGTAATTTGTGAATGGAATTCAGCTGAAGATCCAGCCGATTCGTTCATTCACTTGCGAGATTACGTGGATTGTTGTAATTGCTCGAAGTTGCCGCAGTTCTCGCCGGAAAATCTGAAGAGCGGTTTCACTGCCGACATGAAAAATGCTGCACTCACAAAGCTCAAAATTAATCCGGTAACTTGTTCAATGCGTTGGTTCTCGCCGATCCTTTTTAAGGGGTGTAAAATCAACGTGAAGGCGAAAGATTGGCATATGAGTGCTTTTAAGTTCAAAGTATCCACATCGTCACTGTTGACGATCGTTTTTATTGATGTGCAATTTTTCATATTGCCCGAAAGTGGTACATTTTTTACAATCGCCGAGTTTCTTCAATGTTAAAGAAATGACGATTAACAATCAAAGAGCGAATCATTGCTGAGTAGAAGCAATCAATGCAGGTTTTTGAAGATAGTGATATTGATATGAAATGTTGTTATCTTTTAAATTCAGAGGCAGGCAAGACGGGTTTACGAAATCTTACGATTAATGAATACGAACACGAGTGATGAAACTGAAATGAAAGCTTACCGCATTGATGTGAAACGAAGACTGGAGAAACCTCTAAAGGTATTACTTCATTTAATTTGATGGTTGTTTAAGCAAGGTAATTTAAACCGTTTGTTATCGAACTCTTTATGATGTGCAGAAGAGAACATTTCGAAGTGAAGAGATTTTTCTGTTGGTGTTGAATTGCATGAGAAAATGTTTTTGATGAGCACGCAGTGCGACACTGAAACGTATTTGCAGCAATCTTACAGTTAGGTTCGTTTTGCGTTTTACAGTTCAAAATTGTCTTGTCACAACTGGAATTTTAAGATTTGAAAGTGATTGAATGGGATGAATCGAATCATAAAAAGCCATCAAGTTAGGTTGCAATCAATTGGGTGTTATCTTCAGAAGAGTGATCGGGATTGGCGTAAGTTGATGAAGGCGTTGGATGAAAAAGAAATGGCAACGGTGGCTGCGAGTGAAATGAATGTGGAGAAGAAACTGAACCTATTGCAACAGTTGTTCGAGGCGGATGTTGAGGACTATAAGACAACGATAAATAGACTGAAACTTTTCTCGAAATTATTTTGATGTTCACATTCTGAGCAAAAATATTTCCTCTCGAGAATCGTTCAATTGGAAGTTAGATTTATGTTTGAAGAAATACCTCGGATGGTGAGGATGTTAAGATAAGAATATTCAACGATTCTGCGAAACTTTCATTATATTCTTTGGAGATTTTTAATTGGATTTTGTGAATCTCTTTAGATGGAAGCATCATTTGTTGATGATGAGGAAAAGACATTGAGATCATTAATCCAATGATTTATCTTGTGGGTAAGAGGAACAAGAAATCTTTTTCAATGATAATGTATATTTATCGGAGTGCACGAAAAAGGGATCTGTTGGGTGCTTTTAATTTGTTTTTTTTGGGCATTTTTACCTATAAAGAAGTGATTGGTTGTGTTAGATTTAAGCAAAAAACGTGTCTGATGTTCATTTGTAATTTTTCCAGAACTTTCAGAGTGTTTTCTGTTTATTTTGGTCTCTTTCGTTCGTATTATTTTCATTGTGTTTAATTTCATTGCGTTTTGAAATCGTAATTTATATGTTCAGATTTATTGCAATATTTTTGTTATTTCATTCATTCCAGAGGAGTTGATTTAATTCAGTGAATCATGAATTGTATTCAAACATTTCTGTGTTTTGTGATTTCAAAAGAATCACCGAATTTACAGTTTGAAGCCTTCAATATCTGAAGCCACAGATATTCTTTCGATTACTTCAGCACCGATTGTAATAACTGCACCTCAGGCTGTTCTCTTTTCATTGTTTGCCCTATGTTTCATTTCATTTGATTGTATTCGATTATTTGGCATCTGTACTGGCGATTCGGATAATTGACATCACCATCTGTCAGCTGATGAAATAGCGCAGATCACTTATCGTCAATGTATTCTCAGTTTATTACTTTGTCATGTCATAATATTAATTCAATGAATATGTTTATTATCATGTGCCCTTCAATTCCTCGATGTTTTTGAATGTTTTTTCTTCTGTGAACGAATGAATGAATTGAAATTCAATGTCATATCGTTATGTAGGTTGTCAGTGAAACATGTGGTTTTATATTTGGATAAACTGTGGTCGAACGTGAAAATATTAACTGTAAAATTGAAACTGGATTGTATTCGATTCAATCTTAAAAGTATTTTTTCTTGTGTTTTTCCATTGGGTTTCCGTATTATATTTTGCAGTTAGTAAAAAGGTGCA